AATGACGTTAGAAGTTGGTGCTGTACTTCTGATTGGATGAGAAAAGTCCGTCTGTTCATTTTCTGCAACTTTGAACTAGAAAAACAGTACTTGTTTCCGGACTGAGTTTTCTATTCATTATTGGTGGGAACCATTGCGGTTTCGTACCGGATTTTTGGAGTAATGAATAACAGAAGGAAAAAAGCGATGGAACATTGAGGGGCGATGACATAATGAAGTGACGATATTTGATTAGCGATAACGATGATGATGACATAGTGAAGTGCGGATTTTTGATTGGCGATAACGACAACACTTCAACTAGACCATATCAAACAGTCAATCATCACATTATAGAAAAAAAAGTGTACATTTCTTTTTCCGTTTCTGTATAAAAAACGTAGTTAATTTATTTTGTATAGGGAGCCATGATTCTTCGTATGTTGATGAACTTTCTTGGTGAGGAGAAATTCTTGGATGGAATCAAGGTACTATCAGATAGTCCTTAAGGTGACTTACTACAGTTTTGATGGATTATAACAGCCCAAATTCTAACTCTTTTGAAAAATGTTCCAAGATGTTTTTTCTTTCTCTATTTACTGTTTACTTAAGTCTTTTACCATTCCATGTGAAACTTGAACAATTAAACGTCAACAAATGGCCAAAATGAACGACCCAGTTCCCCAGAAGAGACTGGGCAGTAGTAGGTTAACTCACGTTTTTCTCAAAATCTACCCGTATGACCCCACCTCAAAATTTCAGGAATAAGAAGATGGCTCTGATTTAACATTCATGCAGAGCAAAATAAAAATCTGTAAAACTAAGAAAATGTGAAATCAAAAAAAGCTCAAAATCTGTCTTACAGATTTTTATTTATATAAGCCACCTTAATTTAGTTGCGGCTGTAATAAATCAGATCACATTTCCAAATTTAGTTTTTGTTGAAGTAGAAAGTGACTACGAGCGAAAGTTCAACGAGAAAGGAATCTTCACAATCGAGCCGCGGACATCTAATAATAGTTTGCGGGCAACATAACGCTATTTTTCAAAGTAAAGCGCAATTGATCGATTTTTTTGTGTGTGTGTTCGTCCGCAGCGCTACATTCAAACTTTCAAATACGGGAATGCTGATGCAGAGGAATTGTGGGATGCCATAGGCGAGGTAGGAATCTTAGTAACTGATTGTGCTTTTACAAAAAGAATATTATTGACTAACTGAAATAATCACTCGACAATTCTGTTAAAGGAGCTACGTCACGGTCTGCGCATATTGAAAAGTTTAGCCTCAATTTTTCAAATTTGTCGTTTGTAATCCGTGT